TTCATTCTGTGACACTGTCTGGAGGGATTACCTCTGGATAAGAAGAATGAGGCCTATTACCTCTCTTGTCCCACTTGTCGTCGTTGTACAGAGTTACCAAAAGAAGGAGCAGGAGCCTTTCCTGTAGCATTCACTCTCAACAACCTCAAAGAGATATACAGTCTAATGAAGAAAGTAGCTGATCCTCAACATGTCACCTGTGACAACTGTACTACAGCTAATGCCACTGGATACTGCAAAGACTGCAGTAAGTTCATGTGTTCTGATTGTATCTCTACCCATAAGAAATGGGCCGACTTTTCTACCCATAAGCTGACAAGTCTTGATGAGGTGACAGCCTCTGATGTCTCTTCTACTTCTCAATTGCTAGCTCCAGCTAAACAGGGGGCACCTCTCATTTGTCCCATACCAAGTCATGATGAGCCTTTAAAGATCTACTGTGAAACATGTGATAGTGTTATATGTCGTGACTGTACAGTCCGTACTCATAAAGACCATGAGTATGACTTAGTCTCTGCCAGTTATACTAAACACTATCAAGAGTTGGAAGGTTCTCTTAATCCGGTAAAAGGGAAAATTGAAGGACTCAAGAAGGTCCTGTCTGCTCTAGCAGAGAGAGAGGGTGAGATCAGAGAGAGAGGAGAAGGAGTCTTAGAAGAAATACACGAAATGGTAGAGGAAATGATGAATGTTCTTCGTGAGTCAGAGAGGAAACTGACTGAGCAGGCAAAGAGGGTCACTGATGATAAACTAAAGGAGCTGTCAGAGCAAATAAAATCAGCAGAAATGAGTTTGAGTGTTCTGGAGGATGTTGAAGATTATGTGGAACAGAGTCTGAAGACAGGCAGTCCTCAACAAGTCCTGGGGTCTAAGAAACAGATGATGGAGCGTATGAGTGAAGTTACTGGAGGGATCAATGTGGAGGAGTTACATCCAAAGGAAAAGGCCGACTTTGTATTGAGTAAAGATATCAAATCGCTGCATCACATTGGAGATATTGTGACCTACTCATCTACTGCACTACAGCAGTGTAGAGTAAAGAAAGTTGGTTGTATTACACCTGCTGGAAAAGTAATTTTGTTTTCACTATCAATGGAGGCACCAGATTCATCTCTTTTGTGTGTTCCCCTCTCTTCTCTGAGGTGTAGTTTAGTACCAGTTGGTAAATGTGATCAACCCATTCATACTACAGTCACTACCACCAGCACTGATCCTGGAGTGTATAGGATACAGTGTAACCCTTCAACCAGTGGTACTTATCATACAGTAAAAGTACAAGTATATGATGTACACCTTGAAGATACCTCACTAGTCATCCCTATCAATCCTTACCTTGATAACATCACTCCAGTACGTACTATAACTAAGCTTAGTAGTCCCTGGGGAGTTGCTGTAGCTGATGA